ATATGGTTAAAATAAACTGCCAGATATCAAACAAAACTCATGTTTTGACATATGTCACACAGCCTGCGGCACTTCATGACTTCAAAATCCGTGATATATTTGATATATATATTTGATAAGGGTGAAAACGATTATTTCTCATGATATCACTATTATTATTTGCATTGCGTGCCCTATTATTTTCATTGCGTACGCGATCTCTTCGAGGCATCTTAGTAAAATTACAAATGCTACTGAAACATACTATGAAAACGCAAAATCTCTTCTTTACATTTCAAACAAAAAACTTTAAAATATTTTACTCAAGTTCCCTAAAACATCAATAAAACTTACTATGAAAACACAAAATCCTATCACACCACAAAATCCAAAATAAGTAATTTTCTTCTTTATCTATATCTATATCTATATCTATACTATTATATAAAAATCTAATGGTGTCTGTCTGTATGTGTATTACTAATAGGTGCAAAAACTACTGAACCAACTGGGCTTAAATTTTACAAAAATATAGCTACCATACCAAGGACCATTATAGGACTATTCACATTTCGATACTGACCGTAGGCTTTGCCCCTTTGGCTTTAAAAGTTCTGAGGTGAACATTTTAAAAGTAAATATTGATTGGTCTCTATGGCTGTGATGAGAACACTAACAATGTTTGTTTACATTTGCTTTGACAGTTAAATGTAAACAAGAAGAACTGCTAAACTGCATATTTCACAATTTCAGACAGCTGATACAAAGAAATTAAATATAATATTTTCCATAACTATGAGGTAGGTTTATTTTAATCTAACCTTTTATCATGTATTATTTATTCTAAAACTATGTCAACGATTCTGGAAAAAAATATTCCATAACCACTGCTGTTAGTGCTGTATCAACTCCGGCTCTGCTTTGGATTTTTTAAAAGCGTCTAAGTTATGAAAAATAATGTTATTGATATGTTTTCAGAAACCAGAATTAATCTTTATAGTTAGTTGAAATTAAAATAGTTAAAATGCGATTTTACGTATACTATATAAGTAGTAAAAATGCTATTTATTAATAGATGAGGGATTTGGAAAATTGTTTTTTTTTTTTTGTTATTTTGGTAATTTTGGGACAAACATGATTAATCAAGTACTTTTATGCATTATGGTGTGTATTTCCCTACGTAAAACCATTGACTAAGGAAATAAGAGTAACCATGGTCGTAAAATTGTATATACGTATGTGTTTCGTGAACTGTACGGTTGTGTTAATATGTTTTATAAATTGTGACACCCACTTATAAGGGAAATGTTGAGACCTGTGACAACGACTGAAGATGCATTGTAATTAAAGCGAAACGCGTCTCGTAGGAGGTAAGTAATTTTGGACACCTTAGGTAAAAATATTGATAAACTAGTATAGTATCAATGGTTAATTTATTTAGATGAATTGAGGTTCATATGTGACCCAAAAAGAACATTTTAAGTGCGAGGCTAAGTAGAGTACGGGAGTAATAAAATAGAGTGTCAGAAAATTATTTCTGTTTTGAAGGGAAATTGTTACTGTTGTTAATTTGAACACTTTAGGCTTTTAGTATATTTGGGATGTATAATCATTTGACTGAGGCTATGAATGATAAATGAACGTTATTTTTACTAGTCAGTTTCAGCGAGCGAAACTAGGATACCTATACTTACAATAACATAACATAAATTAACTTTATTTATTATAAGTTATTATTTATTTACGCCTGTCCTTTGTGTTGCTCTTATCAAGATAGAACTTTGATATAAAACTTCACCGGACCAGTTTAATCCATTTTTATCATTGTTTTCAATATTGATTGATGTTAGCGATATTTATATACAGTTGAACTGTTATATATTGTGTTCAACTTCATGCCACATTATTATACATATTATCATAGTCGCCAATTAATAATATTTTTTTTCTTTTAGGTGTATATTGTATACGTTGGTAACTCTACGAATTAAAGTATTTGGTAAGTTTGTCCATTTACTGTTAGATAAAAACAATTAATAGTCAATGGTTCATCAAAAGTAGAGAGTAGACATAGATAGTCACAACTGATATTAAAGATAGTTTTTTGTAGGACATTTAAGTTTCCCCTTTCCATTTTACGGTTAAATATACAATGGAGGCTTTATAATAGCTACTTCACAAAATGGCGTGGGCAAGCGAAACGGTGAACAACTTTTGGGATACTTCAGAATGTGATCATAGAATAGTGCAACTATCGACCAATTACTACCGGATTGGCGGTCGTAGTCGTATGTTGTTTTGTTAAAAGATTGAAAATGGAAGTGGTCGTTCGCCCAACCCCGTTTGCTGGGAATGAAACAAACGGCACGGCATTCCCGTGCAATATATTCAGTAAAAGTGAAAGAAGTTTACATAACATATTTGAAAACAGTGTGAACTAAATTTTTCGATTACCATCTGAATGCACTTACTTAAAATTGAATCCCATTTTTGGGCGACTATGCCAAATTAATAGGTCTAGAGTTTAAAAAAACTATAGTCTATTTTTGATCAGTTTTAGTTCTTTCCTATTAGTCTATTGCCTGCAATGAAGAAGCTTACCGAAAAATGGAGCGGAGTATCATATTAAACAGAAACAACAACAGAATTAAGAAAGGGCTTCACTAAACTAATAACTTCCTATAAACTTTATCCAACGTAAATAATTTGCAACTCCCAAAAAATTATTTTAGCTAATTTAGTTCCCTACAATCAATAACAAAATCATTCTATCACGTCAGAATTCATAGCTATAAACTGCATTCTATACACATAGCTTTCAAACTAATTATCATAGAATGGATCTCAAGATTCTTTAAAATTACAATATATAGATGTTTTGTATGAATTTGGAGGCCACTTTAAATAAATTCAAACTGCTTAACGTGTGTTAGATTGACTTGACATAACTTGCACTTCACATTGTTTTTACATGTATATTTAGGTAAATTAAGTTATTGTGTTTTGCAAAACCTATGCTTAAATTAAACTAAAGAATATCATCAATGACTAAATTGTACGTCGTTGATTTTTGTTTTCTAAAATCTGTTGTATATGTGTAACTATATTTAATTATCAAATGGTAGTACAAAATACTCTTATTTTATCTTAACATAGCTTTCAGTTCACATTTACTTTATTTGATACATTTATTATTCGTGTTTTGCCACACCACTGATTAAATTAAACCAAGGAAAATATCATAAAACTAAGCAGTACACCGTGTTCTTTTGTTTCTAAAATCAATGAAATATATGTTTACTTAATGGTAAGTGTGAAAATGTAAAGGCAATGAACGATGGAAATGATTAAAAGAACTGGTTTGTATATTAAGTTGTTTGTTGATATTGTTGTAGAGTAGAATCAGAGATGCAATGAAACATATACTGTATTTGCTATTATATTTTTTAGTCATTGATGCTTTGATAATCATACAGTATTAGTTTTGTCTACTGTCTTTAATGCTAAATTATTTGTTTAACATTTTTTATAGTACCTATATAGATATAGTTTCTTTAATATTTAAAAAAACTGTATTGATAAGTATTGATAACTTTAATAATTTGGTAGTATTTTTGCAGCTTCAAAATTGAAATTTAAAATGTCAATAATAAATTAAAAGATATGTAATTAAGGGAGATGAAGGTAAATCATGTATGTCAAAGTTTTATTCGAAGATTTGGTCAGTTTTTCTCATATCAGTCTACACAAGATTTAAAATTAATCAAAACCAAAATGGTGGTATCCACAAAAGTTGAATTTTGTTTCTAAAAGCGTTGGTGGATGTGTAACTATTTTATGCAACAGATGTAAAGATTAAAATGTTTCTATTTTGTGTCCTCTTCCCGTTGCAAAGCATGGGTACAACAGCTAGTATTTTATACAAATAGCATTACAATATTTTACTTGAATTCGTTGAAACATCATCAACTACACCCCATTTTCGTATGGGTGTAAACAAAATTGTTGCCATCTGTTTTGATGTAAACAAAATGTAAACTTGGAACAGTTCAGATTATTGACAACAGAATTCAGCAGAAACTCTGAAATTTTAAAAGCCTGTAGGACACCAAACCAAAAAAGACACATCTAGAGGATAAGAGCTTAAAGTTGATACCCAATATGCCTATAAAAATAAATATTTAGGGGCCGATTTGCTGCACACAAAAATCCAACAAATTCTTTCGATAATATAGATTTCATTGTTCTTTAATTTTTGTAGGATTACAATTTATGTATTTCCAACGGTTAGTGAAATGTATTCAAAAAGTTAAAATTGACCGCCGATTTTCAATATTGTGGTCGTGGCACAACATCCACGAATGTTGATTTTTAATATGTTGTCACTGGGTACTAGTACTAAACATGTGCAAAGATTCCCGGAGTAGGGAATTATTTGCACCTAAACCCCTATTATGACTGGTCTATTAAAGATCATATTTTTAACTGCACTTTACCTAACTAAACAGATAAAAAAAATCAGTTGCTATTAGTCAGTAGGTATTGACGTTGCAATTGATAGTATTCAAAAGGCAACGATGACACTACACAACAAAGCTAATATCTTCTATTTATTCAACATTCATTCTTCAACCATCTTACACTATAAACGAATAAGATATCTACTACAATAGGTAATTCAAATACAACAAAACCATTTAATAACATTACATAAATGACCACCTCTCTGCATAGTACATATTCACCCTGAAAGCCAAGACATAAACAAGATTCGCACAATCGAAACATTCCGCAACCCATAATCCTAACCCTAAAGGAACCAATCCGCCGCCAGGATTCCGAGACACCCATTAAACCGGGATTGTTTCTGGCGGGTAATTACCCCCACTACCGGCCACTTGTTGCCGCCAATAGTAGCGAGGGGGCGTGGCCTACTACCGCCCCCACCCCACGGGCACCGCATGGTCCTGACTCAGTCGTGATCGCGACCGTGCCATGTGAGAGAGATGACGACCCTGGATCATCCACATATCAAGCGACCCATGAACGCGTTCATGGTGTGGTCGAGAGGACAACGGAGGAAGATGGCCCAGGAAAACCCCAAGATGCACAACTCGGAGATCTCCAAGAGATTGGGCGCCGAGTGGAAGTTGTTGACGGAGATGGAGAAGAGACCGTTCATAGACGAGGCGAAGAGATTGAGGTAGGCAAGTGCTTATAAGTCATATGATTAATCGAATGAATCGTCCAAGTCCAATGCAATAAGCACTAGAGTGTTTGTAATGTAATTTATTCTTTTTTAGATTTAAAAATGTTGGTTTGGAAAAAAAACACATGTACCAGACTACGAGGAGGATTTGTCACTAGCACTTAATCCTTGGGTTTGAAATAATTTTTACCCCGTTTTAAAAATTGTTTGCATGATTGGGAATCAGCTTTTCGTGTGTTCCTATAAGGGGATTCCTGTGGTTATGGCTCTCACAGTACTTTTATAGATTGCAGAACGCGCGGATACTCGAATTACAGAACTCGTGAATTCAGGGTCATGAAATTGGTTAAAAAGATTGATACCCTATGGTTTAATAATGCCGAAAAAGTTGGACCATACTTAAATATACGTACAGTGGTATTTGTAAAATTTCCTCCATATTTTCATTTGGGAATGCGTAGGTGTCTTTTTACACATCCAAGTATGATTAGAATTGATGTCAACAAACAAAAAGCATAATGAAGGCAGCTGAAATCAATATTGTTTGAAAAGAATCTGTATCAACGCCAATATGAATGAAACATTTGTTACTATACATTTCCACATAGGAGAAGTAATTTAAAGGTCATTTGGAATGACGAGACGAAAAATGCTTAAGAAACTGTTGATTCAGGTATGACTACTGTCGTATTGAGCAATATAGATAGTTTACTGCATTGCTTTATCGAGTTTTATAAACTTGTAGAAAATTTAAAATTACAGGTGACTATCCGCTGTCTTCAGTTTTATAAAATCCGAAGAAAAACTGTAGTTTTCGAAGTGTGGTTTACCATAATCAGGGGTAACTGCAGACAGTTTGTCAACAAATAAAATGTAACATATCATCATTGTAACAAGAAACTATAATATACATACAATTATCTTCGCTCAAACTTAGTACACCGCTTTTTGCGTTTAATGTGAGGAGGGGAGATATGATAGATTGCGTTTGATGCATTATCAAAATTAAATAAGAGTTTAAGTTGTTACAAAATCAATCAAGAAAAACCTTCGAAATACAGGCAAAAAATCAATCGCATTGTTCTATAATTGAATATATTGTATAGCTTATTGAATATTTTGTTTCAACGAGAATTTTGAAATCATTGGAGATACAAAAAAATGGACAGATAAAACAAGGGAAAATAACATCATGTATCATTAAGTTACGGTACATTATATAGCATTACCCTTAGACTTAACACAATAATTTAACTTATACTTTTATTGAAATGAAGCACTAACAATTTACATTAATAGCATATTTAGCAATTGTATATATTTTACTAAAAATAAAACCCCCGTTAGGCGTTATTGAAAACAATGCGCAAATCGGTTACAGCTTACGAATAAATAAATATGAACGTTCTGCGCGTAGTGGAGCACACCTTATTTATTCGCATATAAAAATTCACTGAATCATGACAATAATTTTACTAATGACTATATTGTGTCAATTATTCTGGTCTAAATTTTTTGCGAATTTCCGCATAGACTATAGGGAATAAGCTATTACTGTAGTACTCATAGTAAGACCTGGACCCGGGACAGAATTACTTTTTCGAGGTCCCTAGAGGCCAAAAACACCATCCGTTCAAATAGATGCATATAATATAATTATATATATAAATTATAAATAATTTGTTCGAACGAGTTCGCGAACCATTATGATCGGACTATAGGAACGGGGGTTTAGGGGGGTTTTATGGAGTAAAAATTGGGTTCTCCCATTTTTAACTCTAAAAACATCAAATTTTTGCAATTTATTTCTAAGCCATTTTATATAGAAGTAATAATGCTTTAATGGGACATTAAAGCATTATTATGCGCCTAAAGATCATGGAGAAATTTCCAAAAAATTGTAAATTTAAAATTCCCATTGCTTGATTATATACATATTTTGATCAGTTTTGAAAGTTATATTTATTTCATACTTATTAAAATTTCACAAAAAAAACAACACTTTTTTACTCTCCCTGGTGCAGCAAGCCTAAGTACTTGTTAAACGATTGCTATTCAAATAGGGAATAAATGTGATATATTTTTAAAGAGATGTTTTAGAGTAAATCCAATCAGTCAAATGGAAATTCGCTTAATCTGCAGGTTTGCTACGGCTGATGTATTTTAAATTGCGTTTGAAAATAACCATGTAATTAATAAACCGTATACTTTTAATTGTACTGATTAATTTGTGATATTATTAAGCCCCTCAAAAGATGTCCATACGGATTTTTCAAATGTTGCTAATACAAACGTTTTGTGTAACATCGTATGTATTACATAAACATTTTGCTCATGCTGAAATTTAATGGTGGAAAATATTGTTAGCACAAATATTATGGTCAACATTTTTAAAAACACTCTATTTTGATCTAAATTGGACCATTATAATCCATTGTCACATAGTCCATAGTTCCACATTCACATCGGACTGGTTCATGAAGTCATACACACATGTGTTCATTTTGCGTGTTTGTAGAAAATTTCATGAATTGGTCAATCTACTTAGTCAAATGCAAGTCTTAGCAGAAAAGACTACGATAATAGACTTACCTAAATAAAAGACTTACCTAAATAAAAATTCACCAAACTCCGAACACCTACGCAAATTAACATAATGAATTCAGACGTGCAAAAACTGTAAATTCCTATTCACACTGTGAATAAAAGGTACAAAGCAGATCAATTGAAAAAGCGACGAAACACATTTGTCAAATTGTAAAGTAACAATCGGAACAAAGCATTGTTGATATACGTGTTGTGGCAACAATGAACGATTAATTGACGGTGACACTTCAGAAGAAACAGCTGAATAGAGAACATCTGTGTGGAGTGTTAGCTTTTACCACACAGCACTTGGTGACCGAGCTTTGATCCGAGTGAAATGAAATTCTGAGAAAAGGAAAAAATTACTTTAAAATACCATCTACTGCTACTTTTAGCATCAATGTAAACAATTTCAGCATTCAGTATGAATCGGTTAGGAGTAAACTTAGTTTCAAAGAAGATTGAAAAATTAAACAATGTGCGTTTTACTTTCAAAAAAGTATTGTTTTCGTCAAAATTAAGTAAAAAAAAAACATCCCATCGATATGGATTAGTTGCTGACAATTGTTAACTAATAAAGAACATAATTAAATGAGCCAGTCAGATAGTATGATAGGCCTAGTGTCTAAAATTATATTTTCTACCTTATTTATCGTTATTGAGAATGTTTATGTGAAATAAAAGATGCTATGTAAGCTTTCAGTCATTCTATCGATTTGACTTAGTTAAAAAGCTGACATACTCGACAGAAATCACTAATACATCAGCTCAACCTGTCGGTGCCAAAACTGCGTCCATTTTGATAATAACAAATAAACTGGTTACAATATTCTCTTGGGGATGAAATGTATAGGTCCATTAATAGTCAAAGGTATTACATAGTTTTTGATCGTGATAAAAATAATTCTTTAATGATTCAATATAGAGTGTGCATGATCCTAAAAGAATTACTAATACTGTTCCCGATCTATTAACACCTATTTGAGTAGTGATCAGATTAATATGAATACAAACCAGTTATATTTCATTATATTGATCTACCTCAGTAAACAATTATTTTTATAACAATTAATTCATTATTAAGTAACGCCGAAATTAACACTTAAATCTATATAAATAAAATTAGAGTTTTGTCTGTACATTGCTTAGAATAATGAACTTTTTGGTTATTTTTACATTTCATAGGTCAGAGAAACCGAATCAAACCTTATCTCAATTTCTGTCTGTCTGTCTGTCTGTCTGTCTATCTGTCATTCTCTTGGTAACGCTAAAATACGCACTTTATTACAACTACTCCTCAATAACTATAGCACTGTCCCGCCTGAAACTTATTTTCCAAATACTATACATATATGAGATGGTTTTAGACGTATTTCATCGAATATGAGACAGTTAGATATTTAACAGTAAACCCTTGAAAATCAAGTTTTTGTCGATTTTTGACGTGGAATTTCTGGAAGCCCATGTTAACCTTATGAGAAATGAAATTATTGAATCTTAACAGCTGTTTCAATTAAACAAGTTGGTTCTGTTCTGTGATGTTCAATAGCATTAAAGTTACAAGGATTACCAACAGGGTGCAGCACTAGCACTATTATTTCTTTTACATTTATGACAACAGCTAATTTGCAACCTGGAGGCGAGTGAGCGTAGCGAACGAGCTAACCTGAAGGCAAGTGAGCGTAGCGAACGAGCTAACCTGAAGGAAAGTGAGCGCAGCGAACGAGCTCCAACATACAGGTGAGTGAGCGTAGCGAACGAACTTCAACCAGGACGTGATTGAGCCATGCAAACGAGATCAGATAGTAAAAATAAAAGTAAGCCTACCGTTATAGGATCGACCGGCAGACACAGAGGTAATTTAACCTTTTATTGATTGTCATACCGATCCGGAACAACAAAAAACAACATAAAATGAAGCTATGTATAATAGTTTGGCCAGCATATCTTAAAATATGCAAACCAACTGCTGTTCGTTATATAAGAAGGTTTCAACTGAATATTATAAGATCCCCGTGCGTAGAACGGGTACACAGCTAGTCATAAAGTAAACGTGTAAGTTTATTTTTTTTATTTTACGATTAAGTATAAACACCCCCCCCCCCCCCCCATAAAAAGAACCCATTTCATGAATTTCATTTTAACGTTTATCTTTTATGTATATTTTTAAAAGGAAATCATAAATAATTTCTCAAAATCATATAACATCTTAAGAGAGCATAATATCTATGATAAACTTAAAAGCTGCTTACAACAATACAAATGTTTTAAAAATATTTTTGTTTACATACATAAATAATTGTTAACTATTAATGCGATGCATTGTTTTAACAATGATTTAATAATGATGTTAAGAAAATGTTTGTAAAATATACTAGTGGTTTGTAACAATTGGCCTTAAATACCAA